CTTTAAGATACTCATTTTTGCTTTAAAATACTGTGAAATCCAATAAAGAGGTGGAATACATCCATTAAAAGACTCTTCTTGTATAAAAAATAGCAAGATAGGCATAACTTTCAATGGTATTTCTCTCAATAGTTAATAGTTGAGATAACCAAAAAGCTATTTTTATAACACTAAAGAAAAGACTATTCCCGTATTTCTATATTAATATTTAAATGGAAATGCACTTTAATAGAATCTTTATAGATATGACAGATTATATTTTGATTTATTAACCACACACCTCCCACATACACATCCCCTTCTACTCCTGTGCCCTCTTTCATTTAAACAGACCATCCTGTATCCTGTACACTTGCCTAAGAGAAAGTCTCACGACAGAAAACAGAAAAATGATCCATTTTAGAATCGTCCATCTAAAACACAGCTATAAGGGAAACTGAAGAAAGCACCAGATTTGGGATAAAACTTGACAGATGAAAGCCAGGCTGCTTAGCCTTAGGTGAACTAAAGATTCCCCAAGCTAAAGAGAACAAGAGGTCAAAGAGGAAGCAGGGGAACCCAGATAGGTTGGTACCAAAGAAGGGAGTGGCTTCCTTCAGTCCTAGGCTAAGTTCGCCAGTTGCTGATGTCTGCCAGCTCCTTTCCTTGATTTTCCTGCTTGTGACACCAAGACATTTTTCCCTCACCAGCTGGTTGGATGCTAAGCTCTTGTATCAGTTAGCTTTGCATAACTAGAACAGGAGAGGTTTAACCTCGCTCATAGTTTCAGAGGTTTCTGTCCATGGTCAGCTGGCTCCTAGACAGGAACATCGTGACGGAAGGGTGTGATGGAAAAAAATCCCTTTGCTTCATGTTGGCCCAGAAACAGAGTACAGGAAAGAGTGTCAGCAAGACATATACTCTCCAAGGTTTACCCCACTCTGACCCACCTCCCAATGGACCCCAACTCTTTACCGCACATCTACTGATAAGTAAGGCAGCCCCATGACCTAATCACTTTTCCAAAAGTCTCTTAATCCAGTCAAAAGGAACTTGACCCTCAGAGATCTACTGAGGGAGAGCACTAGAGGGACACTAAAAGGACTGAGCTTGTCTCTCTGGGTCCAGTGATACTCTTGTCTTGTCTTGCTCCCACAGCGCATAGTGGCGAGCACACATGGAACTCCCAGTGCTTAGCATTCATTCAAAGTCAAATTCAGTGACAGCAACGTTGTAGCAGCTTAGCAGAGATGTCCATAGGACAATCCCTACCCATTGCTAGGCTCCCTGGTCCCTAGAGCACGCTTCCCAGCACACCACTTTGAGTGCTGATTCTCAGCAACTTCAACAGCATGCTATATTTACCTGGTAGCTTGCGATGGTCCTCCAGAGGGAGCATCCCTTCAAGTTTCTCCATCAAGGCACCTTAGAAAATTTCTCTATCCTCTCCACTGAACACTGGACCCCAATTCAGGATGAGGTGACCACTGCATGTCTGTCCCTCTCTTCGGTACTCCACCTCAGCCCTAGAGGTAGTGACTTCCCTTTATGTCCTTCATATATTCTTTAGTTATCTCTTTTACTCTTCAGTAGATAATACCCTGTTATAGTTAGCAACTTCTTACATTAAAACTTCCCTGTCAGAATTACGCTATAGTTGGAATCTGGAATTTCCCCTAAATAAACAAAACAGCACTGGACTTCGCAAGGGCATAATCAAAATAATTTCCCAAGCCCATCTATACTGGCACTTCTCCCAGAACATCCCTACAACCTGTTTCTGAACCAGGGACGATCTTGCCAGAAACCACTTAGTAATTGTGTTAGTCAGCCATGTGCCTAAAGCAAGAGAGCCAAGGGATCATGGAATGTAACCTCTAAAATGTAAGCCACGATAAAGCTCTCTATAAATGTTAAAGGCTTAGTCCCCAGAAGGTGCTTCTGGGAGTTGGTAGAACCTGTAAGATTTGGGGCCTACTAGGAGGTCTTCAGGTCACTGGGGATGTGCCTTTGAGGGGGATCATGAGATCACCTGACCCTTCTTCTTCTTGCCTTTCATGCTTCAGCCAAGAGGTGAGAAGTTCTGCTCCACTATGTACTTCTAACATGCTAAGCTGCCTTGCCAACACAGTCAAGAGACCATGGAGAAGAATCTCAAAAATGCTGAGCCAAAATAAGCCTCTTTATGAGTTTTCTCTGGAATTTGTTACAGTGGTGGAAAGCTGACTAGCATAATTAGTGTGTGGTCCTGGCTCAATCCTCCCCGGTTCAGGTACAGGGTAGAGGAATGTCCCAGGAAATACAGCGGCACAGATGGAATTAGGGAGCACTTTGCCATGCCTTTAAATAGCCCAGTGCTGACTTTTATTTACTTGTTTGTTGGCAACAGGACACAGGATGTCAGTGATTCATGGCACACAGAGGCACCACAATTAATCAGGTTATCACTCTGACAAATGCCAAATGAAGCAAGATGCTTCAAGTTGGCTTCAAGACGGCCACTGCACTTGACTGTGAGGCTGTAATGAGGATGACAAGGACTGTGGGGTGTGATGGGTTCTTCTGAGTACAGTGGAGAACTTAAAAGGAAAACAACAGCGGGGTCTTTTAATTCCCAGTTCAAGTCATAGTCTGAGACCTACAGAGATTCCACAACAGCTCTAAAAGAATCTGTCATTTTGTGTTGCCACAGCATTGATATGGCTGATAGTCAAACACAAAATTTAATTGGGCAGGTTACTAAATTACAGTGTCAGTTGAATTTACACTTCATCAAGTTTTTCTTATGAAAGTTAGAAAAATAAAATAAAAGGATCCTAAAACTTGCAATAGGGACATCTTGTTGAACTCTGTTGTAACGGACAATCTTTAAACCCACGTCACTCCTAGCTTTTGTTGTTAGTGGAAGTAGCTTGTCACTTTGTGTCTAGAAAAAGAAGTCTTCCTTTACTTGAAAACTAAATGATAACCTTATTGGGTATCTTAAAAAGGAACACTCATTCAAATCCATAAACAGAGTCAAACTTCAGCATAATCCAGGGGAATTAGTATACCACATTACTCATAGGAAAAAACTTCTATACTAAAAGAATTGCAAAATTTTGCAACTACATATAAGCAGGAACCCAGAGAACACATGAAGAAGTAGATTCAGAGGACAGTAAGCCAAGAAGGGTAAGATGCAGCACTAGATCAGAAAGAATTCATGGATATGGCTATGTGTACTACAATTTACAGATTTACTGTTAGTTCAGGAAGACGGAGGTGTAGCTTACTTGGTAGGTTGATTGAATCTTGTTTTCAGTGGTGGCCTGTATTTAGTGAAGATGAAATACCAGTGCTTCTCTGGCATGTGTGGGAGAGAATTCAAAGGTATGGAGAAAAAAAAATGGGGTGAATATACAGTGTGCTATCTACACACCTGCCCCTCAACTGCATTCAGCAAGAACATCCCAAAGGTACTCCTTTTGATAAGGTACTGAGAAAAAGATTGGAGAGGGAGCCACTGCATCCTGGTACTCTCCTTCAGAGGCCAGATATGATAAAGACAGATCCAGGATTCCAATGTATCCCCTCAGCAGAGGCCAAGTGACAGACTCTGATTGCCAGTGACAAGTTGGTAACTTTTAGCCTAATGAGCAGCAGAAATAGACTGTTAGTGAGAGAGCCTTGGCCTTCGGAGATCTTTGGTGGTCATCAAATGATTAGGGTACTCCTGGAAAGGAAAGTAATGACCAGCCTACTAGCGTAGTTTTATATCTAAATAACAGAAGAGAGGCTCTCGGTCTAATAGACAAAATACAGGCCTGAGTTGCCACTGTCTAATAAAAAGTCACAGCCTCTCACACAACTTCCAGACCTAAGTCAATTCAAAGGCCCAAAGCACCTTGGTTAACAGAGAAACTCCCTTTGAGGAAGATCTTGAAGCACTACCTCAGCTGCACAGTATCAATTTTCCTCTGAGTCTTCCCCAAAGAGATTTTCAGGTATTTACTAGAGTAACTGTTCACTAGGGAAAGGAAAATAGACAGGTTTTCTGGAAATATTGGGCACTTGTTATAAATCAAAAGTATATAATTTTTGGAGTCTGATAATTCCACTTTGCTATATCCATGTAAAAGCTCTCGGTTTTGTTTTTGAGGGATTTTTTTTTTTGCAGGGGGGATAAGGTATTCAGGTGGTAGATGAAGCATTAGGCAGAATTTGACTCACAGTGAGCCTTGCTGTGTCTAACAGTACCCGAATTGTACAGTTGGAATTACCAAAATTGGTAAATCATAGCACCCCAATACTGGTTCTTTGAATCCTAGATAAGGGAATGTTTTCATGTTTTGCTCACTGGTGTATCTGAAGTGCCTAGGATAGGGACATGGTGGGCATTATATGTCCAATAAGTCAATGAATGAACCTCATAAGACATACAATCTTCAACTTCAGTGTAATAGTGACTTTCTTAACCACAGGTCTCCACATTGTATATGAAAATTTACTTTTAATCTCTGGTGAATGAATACTGTCTTCACTTGACAGATTTCTGTCAATAATTAATAGCTGTTTTTCAGTACTTTTTTTTTTTTCTTCATACCTAACAGTAACTACTATCTTCAAAATCTTAATTCTGGATTCTGTGTGGTTCTGGATTTCACACCATTAAGAGGTCCAGTTGTCAACCTAGTATCCTCCAGATCAGTAAGGAAGAGATGGGCACTACTTTTTCTTTCTTTTCTGTGCTAGATCTGCTTATAGAAAAGGAAGCCCAGCTCAGTTCCCTTTTTAACCTCCATACTGAAGGGACATTTGTGAGGAAGTCTGTTTCTGCCAGTGACAGACCACGTTAGAGGTCCCAGGGAAATGCAGTTTACCCTTTTGCCTTCCTGGGTTTGCTGCTGACCCAATGTGTAGTTGGAGAGTATAAGAACAAGTATTCACCCTAACTAAAACTACCATAAGCTAGTTCTTCAACAATATTAGCATCAAACTGTGTGGAAGATGAAAAGAAAATAAAAAGCGAGAACACTGACCTGTGTGATGTAGATGACTTTGTGTAGCTGAATTAATATCTGCTGAATAGGATCACTGATCTGACGCACTTTCCTCTGGGACACAGCAATCCCTGCAGATGCTGTAGGTAATAAATTCTGTAGTTAGTCAAGTTCTCTTCTAAAAGTGGTATTGTAGTGGAAAATGAGCTAAAATTCTGAAAAAAAAAAAAAAAGTAAAGCAAAGACCTCATCCTAAGGCAACATGCAATATTTTATGGAGTAAACAATTTCATCCCTTCATTTCTCAAGTCAATTAACATAATGATGCTATTTGTCATAACATTTGAAAGACCACTTATCTCTTGAACATTTTGCATGCGAGTACAGCAGGCAACCTTCAGGAGGTACTGATACTTTGGATGCTATTGCCCCTGAAAAGCTTGGCTGCAGACACGTGTAGTGAAAAGGCTATCACGCTTTTAATTTTTATATTCATAATGCCCTTTATACTATGTTAAACTATTTTTATCCAAACTACTAAAGGCAGACAGCAAGAAGGCAATTTGGTGGAGTAAAGAAACAAACATTCTCTTAACTACAATTTAGTGACTTTCAAATCCTTGATTATTACAAATTATAATTTCACCTGGACTTTTCTGTACTCCAGTCTCAGTTGGACAGGCTTCATTTTCCTGAATTTTCACTACAAAGCCACATCACCTTCAGAGACTCAGGCTAAATGGTGGCAGGCTGCAAATGAACTGCTTCTCCAACGGTGTCATGGTTATACGTGTTTATTCTTGTGTCCAGGAATAAAAACTAGTTAAAGGAGTGGCTTAAATTCCTATATTCGCCATGAGGCCCCACTCTTCTTCTTACCCATGGATCCAAGTGGAGAAAATGGGAGAGACGCTTACATGTGGGTGTATGTATGTTCCCCCTTTTCCTTCTGTCCTTTCCCTTCCTCTCTTTAACCTATAGCATAATTTCTGCAACATTATTCTTTCACTAATTTCCTGTTTTAAAAAAGTCCCGCAGACCCATTTTTCTTCTCTACAATGGTGAGTGCATATAAAATTAAATTTGAATATAATCACTGAAAGATATTTTGAAAATTACTCAGAAGTGCTTACTGAAACTGTTTGCAGATTTTACCTTAAATATTTTGTTCTCAAAGATTTAAAGAGAAAATTCGGTGTGGTTGTTTAGCAGTCAACTTTGATTTATTACAACATATAAAAATTTACATTTATGGCACAAAAAATTAGAATGAAACATAAACAACCTTATTTGCAGGTATCTCATACTGAGTTAGTTGAAAAAGCAGCACAGGAAATATCCTAGTTCTCTATCATCTGCAGTTAACATTTCATTTAAATATCTGGAAGTTAAAGAATTTATCTCCCCTTGAAGGTTGTGTCTGACTTTTTAGCATCGATTATTTGATCGTTAATATGAGGTTTTAATAAATTACCCTTTTTGTGAAAAAAAGGAGATAGGGTAAAGCAGAAGGAATTAACGTAATTACAAAATAGAAAACAAAACTGGAGTTGTCTGTCTCAGCTTATAAAGGTTACCATGTGTACTCATGCCTTATTTCCCACATATTGCTGTCTCCTTGCAGAAGTAAGTCTCTCTTGGTTTGTTTGTCTAGATCCACACCAAAAACTGGAGACCACGTGGCTGTCACCACAGGAACATTAACTTTGCATTTTCTAAAAATGATAGGCTTGAATTCTAAACACTTTCTGCTGCTTTGTTATTTATTTGTAGACACAGTGTCCATAGGTAACGAGTAAAAATCTCACAGCATGGCAGAGTTCTTAGGTTTGTGACTTTGTGAATGGGTTATCACACAGGCTTGACTCTACCTTGCCACAAGCATGTGCTCATCTGTGGCCCTAAACACAAAAACAAAGAGAGTTAGCTAGAATGTCTGTCTTCTGAATTTACTGAATAAGCAATTTCACTCAAAGATACTTTTTTGCTTAGGCCCGTTTTGACCACTACTCTCTCAATCCCAGTAAATCTTGGACTTTGAAAAATAGTTTTGGTTGTTTACTCTCTAAAACAACAAATAAACAGAAACCTAAAATGTTTGATTACCTTTGCTCCTTATAAAACAAGTGAACACACAATAACATAAGTATTACAAATGAGGCTCCAATCCCCTGGGAACCTCCACTCATCACAGCCACCTATCCAGTAGTAACACCTGATACTGGCTTAGTCTCTTTTTTATCCATTTACATATGTGTGTTTAGCAGAAAAAGACTTTTCAAACTGTAGTTAAGCCCTAAAGTCAATTTAATGGGTTATGACCAGCATTTGAAAAATGGAATGAAATCAACTGGAAGAGGACAGAACATTTTCAGAGTGCAGTGCGTACAGTAAGAGTCCAATCAATCAAGATATAAAATGTGCTCCTCTTTGAGGGACCTCTCCAAGAAAGTTTGAAAGCTACTATGAGAGGAAATATAGTCCTTTTCTCTCCCTTCCTTCTTTCATTTTTCCTTTTATTTTTCTCACCCTTCATCTCTTTTTTCCTCTCTCTCTCTTTTTAAAATGAACGGTGAGACATCATGCCATAGAGATAGTTTTATAATTTTTCAGTCTATCTTTTTACATCAACACACCCAGTGATAGCTCATTTTTTCTAATCAATCAATAATACTGCATATTTTGAATATGCTATAATTCCCTTAGCCTCTTTTCTCTTGCTAGGCTCTTAGTTTTCTTTGAATTTCTCAAGATACTTCAGTGAGTACACTTGCGCATGCCTCACTGTGAACTTTAATGAATGGGGCCAAAACACACAGGAGTTTTCCCTCATTGGACCATCTATCCTAATGGAAAACCATACTCTGACCTCACTTTTGCAACAGTAACAATAAATAAATTAATTGTAGTTCAAATCTAGAAATGTTCAGCAATCAGACCGTGTCCCTGGCAGACTAGGGCCTGCACTCAACTAGAATTTCATGAGGAGCTTTGCCCCATGAACCATGCGATGGGAGATAAGGAGTGGGTGTAAAGAGTACACTTAGGAAGACTAGAAGTAAACAGCAGGCCTTCAGTAGGCAGGAGATGTGGACCTGGCATGAGAGAAGTTGGGTTTTAACGGTGGTTTCAGAATACAAAAGGCAATGCTGGTGGAGGACAGAGTCGGCTCAGGGAAGGCAGCATCCACTTTAGATGGTGTGCAGTGGGAGAGGTAACCAGGGACCATACAGGATGGTGAGGAGCCAGAAAGTAACTGCGTTTTGGGATGGGCAATTTCACAAGAAGTTGTCTAGGGCTGACGTCAGAGGCCTGGCTTGAACAGTCTCTCTCTGCCAAGTATTAGCAACCTTGTTTCAGCCAAGCCATGATTTATTTGAGCCTTGGTTTCTTCCCCTGAAGTGGAAGCATGGTGAAAAGGCGAATAAAATGGAGCGGTTGAGGCTGCACAGACTGGGGCAGGAGGAGGTCTGCAATGTGTAGTAATTGTCTGTGGGGAGCAGGAGCCGAGGAGACTGCTGATACAAGGGTCTAAGTGACTGAGAGTGATGTCTGCTTAGGTATGAATCTGGTCTGTTCCTCCAAAGTTGTGCAGAGTGTTATGGTTTATATCTAACATGTCCGTCTCAATTCTCATGTGTGAGGCTGACTGGATGAAGGAGCACTACATTGCCAGTACAAAGTGTGCTGTGAGGAGGGAAGGCCTGGCTGGAGGCAGCCACTGAGGGTGTGACACGGAAGGATGCACTCTTGTCCTCCCTTCTCTCTGCTTCCTGGCTGCCATGGGCTGAGCACCTCTGCCAGACCCCTCTGCCATCCTGTTTCTGCCCTGGAGCTGGCCAACCATGGATTGAAATGGTGACTCAAAATAAACATCTCCTACTTGAAGTTGTGGATATTGGGTATTTTGCTCCAGCAGAAAGAAAGGAACTAAAACACAGGGGTTTAATACCCTAGTCTTATTAATACCCTTGGGAAGTGGAAATATAATCTGAACGTGATGTTCAGACGTGGGGTCTTGAGAAAGAGCTTAGGTTTAAATAAGGTCATCAGGATGAACTCCCATGATTGAGTCCTGCTGGCTCTGTAAGAGAGGGACAGAAACTTGTCATGCAAGCTCTCTGTAATTGCTTACGATAACATGTACTACCTACTGACTGTCAGGAACAAGGCCATCACCAGAACTGAGCCAGGGCTAGCACCACACTCCTGAATGTCCACATCTATGAGCTAAACTTCTTTATACAGTTAGCTTGCCTCCAATATTTCATTATAGTCATGAGAAGCTGACTAATACAACACCCCACCAGAAGAGAGGGATCAATGGAGAAAGTGCTACTTGGGCGAGGGGGCTGGGCACAGCAATCTTCCTACCACAACAGAGCGACCATCTACAGTGTGTCAGGCGGTAGCTGTTGACAAGGGACTTGACAGGCTGGAATTAGGTCTCCAGTGCCCTCACCCCTGGTGGAATTTCCCACAGGATGGCAGAAAGCCAGGTCAAAGTACTGGCTCCTTTAAACCCCTAGGTGATCAAGAAACAAACTCCTTTCATTTTAACTTCAGAAACATGTGGCTTAAAGGCCACAGAAGCCAGGTGCTTTGAAGTCTTTCCCTCTTGAATTCTGGATGAATCTCTTTCATGTAGTGCATCTTACATCCTGTTCTGGCTCAATTGAGTATGAGAGTTTGCGCGTGCGCACGCGCGCGCGCGTGTGTGTGTGCGCTGAGGGTTAGGGTACTCCCATTTTAAAAATGCTGTCATTTTGTTTCTTTTTCAGGATAGAAAATAAAACATAATTTCAAGATTTTTGAAGTTGAAGTTCCTAGAAATGGCTACATAAAACGCATGGCAAGACACTGTGTGCACACTTCACTGATGTATTATTTCCCATACTTGCTTTTGACCCCCAGGGGCCTCCCCCAGTCAAGCAGCAGACTCTGAGGCTCACACTGCCTCAAGACAGGGTGGCTCACAGGGACCAGCAACAGAGGAAGTGAGTTCCTGCACATTAAAAAGCAAAAGTTTAAGCAAAATCCAGAAAGATTCAAAATAATTTTGCTGAACAAACTCTTCTGCCCCTCTTGGGTGAAATAAAGCTTCTCCTAGGAGAATGGGACACAAGAAGAAAAGGAAGGCTCAGGAGACACAAATATGCCACCTGACTTTGGGCTAAGTCTGGGATGGGGGCAGGAAGGACAGAGGTGGATGACTCTCTTCAAGGTTGGGCAATGGAGCAGATAAAGCTGCATCCCATTCCAACCCCAGCACAGAGTGTGGGGACAGTAGAGAGCATTTCATGGGATGTCACAGAGGAGAGGTTCTGTGTATTTCCAGGGTTCTGTGCCCAAAGGAGTGGGGAAAGATCAGCCTTCCTAAAGTTCCTAAGAAGATGAGGGACACCCTGCCCTATAGAGGTCTTGTCTTCATGTCAACAGGACACAGCTATGGGTGGAAATGTGATCAGGGAACTAGAAGCCAGGTGGGGTCACACAGCTCCTTTGAATGCTAATGTGCAAGGTGACCACACTTAAGGACATCAGTGTCAGCACAGGCAGTCTCAAAGCTCCTGTAATTTAATGCTGACAAAATTCCACCCAAGGAAGGAAAGCAACTGTCAATTTGCCCAATAGCCTGATGTGATAAAGAAATCACCAACTCACCTAATTTACCTATAGGCTAATTGATTGTGTTTTCTGATGGCAGTAAATATAAACATTAAGTTCAGTTTTGGCAAAATATAGAAAGATACATTTTTATGAACTTGTAGCCTAAAAGTAGCACCTCACTCTAGTTTATAAAGCTGGACTCTTCCTCATTGACTTAGTTACTTCTTACACTGTGCTACAATCACCTAAGTCAGGCTGGCTCCAACTTCCAGAGGAAATTTGTTTTTCTCTAGAAGTCAGTTTTATTGATTAAGCCAAGAATTCCTGAGAAAAAAATATTATACTATGAAAACACAGTGTGTTCACTATTACAGATGTAAGGATACCAACCAAACTACCAGGAATAAAAAGTAAAGATAGGGTTGGTCCTCTTCTATATTCACCATGCTACAACATTTTCTAATAACTCTACTTGGTCCCAATCTAAACTATGGGTGATATTGCAGTATGTTTAATGATTTATGGCAATAAAGATGCAAGCATTTCACTGTTCTTTAATATTAAAGGTTAACCTGAAGAAATCGATATATTGGTATGAATTTAAGGCTGATCAAGAAGTTGATAAAATTGCATCACCCTTAGAAATTTCACCAGTCTTATGCTAAATTTAGCAATCTTATTTCATCTTCTTCTTCTTGCCTAAATACCTATTCTAATTCTCATGGAATCAGGGCTTTTGTGCTCTAACTTATTCTATCATTAAAGATTTAAATACAACTTGGACAGCTGCCAAAGAATCACTTCCATAACTGTGCTTTTGTGCTCCAATATAATAAAAAATTATAAATAGTTATATAGATAAGATGTTCTATTGACACACTATCCAAAAGATTTCCAGTAATCTGTTAAACTCAAACTGAGAGTTTATTATAAAGAGCTTATCTCAGGGGCTAAGGATTTAGCTCAGTGGTGTCACCACCTGCCTCACAAGCACAAGGTCCTGAGTTCAATCCCTGGTACCAAAAAGAATAATAATAAAAAAAAAAAAACAAAGAGCTTGTCTCAGCTTGTAGAAAAGACAAGCAGGTGGCCTGCACAGAAGAATGAGGCCTCTTGCTATTGGGAGATTGGATTCCTACCTGTAACAGTCATTAGGCAATGGTGCTGCCACAGCTAACATTATCTTAAAGAAAGGAAATTATCAGGAACTTAATGAGTGATTCAATAATTAATATTCTCTTATAGGTTAAATACTGTTTGCTGACAACCCTAAAGAATTCACTCCCCCAAC